ATTTCTATTACTTTTTTCAAATCCATAATTTAGGTTTCATTTGTTTCGACGTAATATTTTTTATGTAAATTAATTTTACACAAAAAAGTATTTTTGCTTTTGTTTTCGGCGTTTGGTAAAATATTTTTTTGCTTAAAAAAGAAACTTTAAATTAATATAACTTTTTAATAAGCTAAAATGTTTATTTGAAAAGATTATCTGTTAAAAAGGTAGTAAGAGTCAACTTTATAAAAAGAACAATGCTACATCCATCGAATTTTGACTTTGCTGAATCATCTAAATTTTGGCTTTGCCAGTCAGTCTAGTTAATCATTCGGCAACAAGGGTGACAACTGTGATAGATAAAGTTGCACGGTCATACTAACAGTCGTTTAGACGGCGAACTGACATGCACAAATTTAAACGATTCAGACAAACTCAAATTCGGTAGAATAAATCATTTTTGTTAAAAAATTGACTACAAATTTTTAAAGATGAGTCATTTTTTAAAAATGATACAAAAATATATTTTCTTACTTTTTATTAACAAAACAACAAAAAAATGAGTAAAATATTTGTAACAAAAATACTTTACGTCAAAATGAACCAACCTTAATTTCAAAAGTGTATTGTCTATTCTAGTTAGCAGCCAATTGCAATTCACCTCCAACAATACTATTTGTTTTAGTTAAGAAGAGAGGAAGAGTAAAAAGAGAGAGAGAGAGAGAGAGAAGAAGAGAGGACAAGGAAGTGGAGAATATATTAGTTTTTAATTTTTATATTTTTTTACTAATGTAAATTAGTTTTGGAGATCTCTTCTCAAAAAAAAAAAACAAAACAAAAAAAATAAGTTGTTAACATTAGATATATTAAAAAAGAAAGAAAAAATATTGAAGGTATATTTAGCCAAAAAAAAAACAAGAAGGTTGTTAACATTAAATATATTAAAAAAGAAAGAAAAAAGATTGAAGGTATATTTAGCCCAAAAAAAAAAATTTGTTAACATTAAATATATTAAAAAAGAAAGAAAAAAGATTGAAGGTATATTTAGTTTTTGTTGTGAACCTTAAAAAAAAAAGTGATTGTTAACATTAAATATAAAAAATAAAAATAAAAATAAAATAAAAATAAGAATTAAAATGGGTTGGAGAAAATCCAAACCTATTAAAAAATAGACGGAGTGATACCCATAGAGAATGAAAAATAGAGAATGAAAAAAATTTATTATAAAGGAATAGAAATGAAAAATTAATATTCACCCCCCGTTAACCCCGTTGCCATCCCTAGTTTCTCTCTCTCTCTGTTTTATGATTTTGATTTTTGTTTTTGGGTGTATGCTTGTGACGGTGTGCAAGTGGGTGGGAGCTCTGTGGTGCAGTTGTGACAAAAACAACAATATATATTCCTTTCGTCTTATTTTATTGATTTATCTTTTTATTTTAATCTGTTCTGAAATTTTTTTTTTTTATTTTAAGAGACTAAATTTTATTATATTTTTAAAATTATCTCTTATAAACATATTTTAAAATTAAAATAAAAGGGTAGTAGTAGAAAAAACATTTCAAAATTTGAATTAAAATAAAATAATACTATATGCATTAATTGGCATATCAAGTAGTATACTAATAAATAATGTGACATAGTTCTACATGTTTTGGATATTTATAATTTGTATAATAAGTGGAGTCAATAATAATATCATAACATATGTTAGTATATTAATTGATGTATGTAATACTACTAATTAAAATATAATAATTACAATATAATAATTACATGTCATCTTAATAAATTAGATTTTCTAAGACAAAAAATTGGGACGGAATGAATAATAAAAATGAATGTAGCTTATGATTACTCCGATTCTTACGTTACTATGGGCAATTATTAAGCTTTATGAGAAACAGTGTTGTGATGTTTTACGATTCTGTTTATTTGGATCAAATATTGATGAAGGAAAAGACCCCAAAAAAAAAAAACCAGAAAAGTGAGAACTAAAAATTCAACCTTCATTATCATTTTTTTTACTTATAAAACTAAGACTTGGTGTACCTTTTGGATGAGTAATTTATTTGAAACGAGTTGGAACATTTTCTTTGCTGCTTTTTCTGTTTCAATTTCAACAAAATTTTCTTCTTTAACAGAAAAATAATGATTGTGCTTTTTAGTTCTGTGTTTGGATAAGCAAAAACATAAGAGAGAATAAATATATGGCTCAATTTTTTTTTTAAACTCAAATTTTACTCCCGCTACGCTTTTAAATCTAGAGTCAGTTTAAAAGAATTGGAATCAAAAATTAAATTTGAATATCTAGATTTTAAAAGATTTCTTCTTTTTATAACTAATTATTCTCATTTTTCAGAGTTTATCACATCTGCAGCCACCCAAACAGCGACGGCAATTTCTCACTATTTCTTTCTGTTATCAACAAAATCTTCAATCCAGGGAACTTAAAAAAATCTAAAAATAGAAACGTGTCTAAATGTTGAAGACACAATCAACAACTATTGAGTGTCATTTTAGAACCAAAAAAATCATGCAGCGTGCATGTGCACACAGAGAGAGAGAGAGACAACTATCCTCTAATCTGTTTCATGCGTGTGCTTCTTTGCAAGGGTTCAATCATCTGCGTTAACGAAAGATCCAACAGAGGTAGAACAACGAAAGTGCGTAATGCAAGGCATGTAAAGAGAATTGAGTTGCAAGGCATGTAAAGAGAATTGCATGCTTAGTCATTTGCAATGCAAATTGCATTCTCCACAAATTACTTTGTTGCAAGTAATCAAAGTGAGTAAATTCAACTAACAGCTGCATATGTGCATATGCATATGCTGCCCACACAGAAAGTACTACCCAAAGGACAATAACATCTCTCCCAAATCAACCAATATAACCTTACAAGTAACCACTTTACATTCTCTTTTTGCTTATATCTACATTCCCATCTCTCTTATTTACTTTTCTATCCATCATATGGATATTCTGAATCATTCTCCGTCACTTTAAAGGGCTGCGGATGTTGGCCAGAGCAATACAAATTCCACATCTTGAAATATGCTCGCTCAAGATTCCTCACCTGGATACAACACAATGTTATAACCGTTCCCAAATCTGAATACATTTTGGATATAGTAGGATCAACACGAGCAAATGATGAGTAAACCATAGGTAAGACGACATTTAGGATACTGCTAACGCATTGAGCTAATGCTGAGCATAATAAGTAAACAGTTGAAAGATGCCACTGCACGAATTTGTATACTCCATTGCCCAACACAAAAAAGGTATCAAATGCTTAAAACTCACAAAGCAATTACAAAATATTTGTTAACTCACCCAACGTGTCGTATCAAATAGAGGGCAAGTCAAACGGACTGCTTTGAGTCTGTAGGTAAGATCCTGAAGCTTTGAGCGATTTAGTGCCAAAGATACTGCCTTCTCTTCATACTCTTTCATGCTTCATTATATACCAAAAACAAGAAGTTAGCAATCAACAGCAAACCAGAGAGAGTCCGCAAATGAAATTTGTTTAAAAGGTAGATCCATCACCACCAGAGATAGAGGGAGACAGCCCAAACTCTAATGCTAGGGCAGGAAGGGCTCACACTACAGTGTGACCCATTGTCACACTATAAGTGATCATAACTATACATTTACATTCTAAGCCAGTTGAGCAAAAACTCGTATTTTTCAATGCACTCAAAATACATACCTGTTGACAATCATCTCCTCCCCAACTCCAGTGGCCACACAAAGTGAACCAGCGACTCTAGTTGCCATTTTCTCGAGGGGAAGGGTCACCATAGGCAGACCAGCCCAAAGTATATCTGTGCCCGTTGTGTGGGCATTGCATAATGGCCTACAAAACAAAAGAAATTACGGAAGTGATGGGTATAATCACTAAACTCAAAGCAGTAGACAGCTTTGCACATTGTAGGCAATCAATAAACTGCAGGTTTGACAATCTAGAAATTGGCAAACAGGTATTGTTTAAATACGTGTCAAGGAATAGATCTGCCAAAGAACTCCGTCTGATATGTTCGTTTTTCATGGCAACATCTGTGAAAATAATTTGCTCTGGTTGCACCCCCTCTGCAGCAGCATCTGGACAAAATGACACCATTTTAGATAATTTCAACTTCTATATCAGAAACAGGGGAAAAAATGACAAATATAAACTAATAAGAAAATTAAAAGCGTGAATTTGGGTTATCAAGGGAAAAAGAAAGTCAACCACACGTTTAAATAATGTATATGTAACACCATAAAATACATCACATACATGTCCGAAGTCTCATCTCGCCTGCTGCTGGAAATCTGAGAAGCCAAAGTGCACTATTGGGCACACGCTTGAGTATATTGCACCTGATGCAGTTTTAAGCGGAATTGATTTAGTATTGAGCCAGATAGTACATGAACTAGTAACAAGACTCACTCAGAGATTACCAAGTTACGAAAATTTCAGGGTCCATCTTGTACAGCTGATTGAAACAAGCAAATATAAATTTGTCCTCTGGCAATCCATAATCTGAACGCTTGGGAGTGCAGCTTGGATCCAATATATCGCGATTTTTCTGGTAACAGTCGTATGAAATAATGAGTTTGCCATAAAATTAAAACTCGTTTCACAAAATAAAACAGGTTTGAGGGTTCAAATATTAACCTGCTTATAATCATTTACGAAGTAACAATGCGGCAGATGGACAAGCTTCTCAGAGTAAATGTTTGATAAACATGTAGGTGAAACAAACTGCCACAAAATTATCAAATTGATAATTAGAGATCCAAGTTGCGGATATAATTATCAAACTGATAATTAAAGATCCAAGTTGAGGATGTAATTATCATAATATACAAATTTTCAATTTCTAACCTCGTCAGTGACCAAATAATGTATGTAAGATGCTCCTGTTGTTCCAGGAAATCCCATGTATGAAACCTGGATAGGAGCAGGCTGCATGGCAAATATTTCATTTCTAGCCCCCTGCACAATTAACAAATGAGTGCCACAAGATTAATCCATAATTTGGATAAGGGGCAGAACACAACGATTTGTAACCCCAAAATATATATATATATATATATTTTGGTAAGAGGCAGAACACAAGAACCATGACAAAATTTGTTCACACAAAAGCTAATCCAACATTTAAACTGAGAAATACAGTGGGTCAAAAACAAACTCATGATTTACTTTAACCAAATTAAATATAATGCAAAAAAACTGAATAATTACTACATAATAAGATAGGCAAATTGTTACCCCAGCAAAACAAAAACAAAACAAACAGACAAATTAGGACATAATAAAATACCTTGGTATAACCATTAAGGTTCACAAGGATTTGTATTTGATCATCATTAATCATCCTAGCAATCATATCAGATGACATAGAAGACACGTCTACAAAGTGCTCTGCCTCTGACTGGATACGTAGCCTCCACTCAGTGCCATCATTTGGACTCAAAGCATAGCAGAACACCTACAACACATTTTGTTACTTCCTGTGTGCATAAAACACCAAAGTGACAGATTTTAAAGTTTTTAAGTAGAATAATAGCTTCAAGAGAAAACCAGTCTGAATTTGCAAACCTCCACATTTTCTCTATTATGCATGCCAAATACTGAGCCCATAAGATGTGATAACGGATGGTTACCGAAGTCACTGCTGACATATCTGAAACAAGGAAACAGTTAACATAAGTTCTTAATTTTCATTCAGTAATTAAAATTATAAGTGAAAAAATAGGGTTTCAAAAATTTACCCAATCCTTAACCGGCCATTCCTACCCCCGCCTCTTATGGGTAATGGTGAAGGATGATTGAATGAAGGAAGTGAGTAACGGGCAGCAATCACAGAGCAATGTGAAGCATATTTACGACTACAGGAACAAAGGAAACAACTAAGATATTATATAAAAGTCACTCTTAATGTCATAACTACCAAACTTGATAATCACCTAATTTCCAATGCAAGCACTGGATCAAGGGGATAGGCTATGGCATGGAATGGCTGCACACTTGGAATAACAGACATCTGAAAAGAGGTATTAAATATTACCAGTCAGTAAACAATAATAACAACAAACAATATTAGATATCATCTTTTAAAAGGAGAATAAATAAAACAGATACACTGAAACCTTTATCTGCCTCCGAAGTATCCCTTCAACTTCAATGAACATCTTATCGCGCACATCCCAATCACAAACACACTAAACACAAAATCAAAATGGAAAAAAGTTAAGTTTCAGCAAGATAAATCTCAACATTCAAATAATCATGCAACCTACAAATTGGTAAAACATATTGGCCCAAGTAGTACACAGAATCAACATAAAAATTAAATGAGAATACGACAGTTCAACTGCTTTCAAGACAGCTGTCCACATACATGATGCATGGCATGAAGATAAATGTGTCCAAATAACAACATATTTAACTGCAGTAGAATATTTTCAACAATCTCAAGAATTTATGTCATTAATTGCAAATCTTCATCGCGAGATTAATTCACAGAAACAGATTTAATAAAAGCACCACACTAATAAAAAGACAAACAGAGAAAACAAAACAACACAAAAGACAAAAAAAAAAAAATGTACAACCGTTCAAAAAATTATATAGGTCTTTCCCTTCCTACTACTGTATACCATATGTCATTAATTTGCTACAAAAAAATATATAAATACTAACAACACACGGTGGTCAGGTGTTTCACCGACAAAATAGAGTTTCCCGAAAACAAACACAAAAAGTAGTCATCAGAAAAAAATACAATAATACTAAGAAATCAAATTAAACACAATCAACAAAGGGCATCCCCACCTAATTCCTGAATATATTTTCCCACCATTAGCAAAACCCGACCAAAATTTCTTAGTTAACAGAAACCACAAAATTAACAGAAAGAATTAATTGGCTTAATAATAGTCTTTCCTCCAAAACCTCCTCAAGCCCATGACCTTATTGTTGGCCCAACAGTCCATTTAAATTCCTTCACCTCTGAAAGTATATGGCCTTGGCTACCCCAACAGAAAGCTAATTGCCTTTTCCAGCACATGATGGCCCAAAATAACCCAGCCCAAACTACCTCTTGTTGCCATCAAACCCCCAAAACAGCTTCCCCCTTTGAACCATCATCACCTCGAAAACCATAGACCTTTTGATTCACCAGCGCCTCACCATGATCAACCATACCAACACCTCCAATTGTCGCTGAGAATAACGAGATTTCGCAAAGAAGAGACTCTATCATCAGACAATCATTGCTTCTCTCCCTCTGCCACTTATGCTCCTCCCTCAACCCAATGCTTCTCCTCCCGTAACCACCTTCCTCCTCATGTGGCCGCCATTGCTTACAGTCCCACCATGAACTCTCTCAACCAAAGCCATTATCAAATCATCTTAACTCACAAGGGACCAAAAAGGAAGCCATCACTATAGAGATACACAAAAATACCTACTGAGGAAGAGTGCGAAAAAAAACTCTACAAACAAGTGTTATTCTGGGAATTTGACTCATATTTAGTATAGCCAATTAAGACTGAGGTCTCTTTACTTGAAGCACCTCATTGGAATTAAATCTCTTGTAAGAAACCAACCAAACCAAACCAAACCAAACCAAACCAAACCAAACCAAAAAATTAACTCAAGGGGAGCACTTTGGTCTTCCAAATTAAATAAAGCTTCAGAAATACAGGAGTCTAAATTTTCAACAAAAGAAAAATATGATTTTGAAGGACAAAATAGTGGAATCCAAACATCAAGAACTCCCCGAGAGAAGAAATGAACATTTCAAAGGAAAAGAAGACAGGAGAGTTTAGTTGCAATAACAATTACTATTACAAGAGTAGTTTCTCAAAAATGATAAACTGAATGTTCTGATGAAATTAAATGTATTTAAATATCAGGCTTGATCTAAGGGTGTGATTTCCTAGATTAGGATTTTAAAGTAAAGAACAATGACAACATTGGGATCCATTTGGTTTAGTTTTAGAATAATGATTTGAGTGTGGAGCTGTGTTTTGAGTTTTTGAATCATGATTTGAAAAGAAAATATTTGTTTAGTTATGAGTTTTGAAAATAGTTTTGGGATTTTTAATTTTTTTTTTTTTTTTTTTTTTTTGATTGATGTATAGAATGTGAGAGGAGAGATGAGAGAAAAAATGATTGATTGATAGGTAATATAAAAAATAAATAAGAGGAGAGGGGAGTTTTGAAAGTAATTTTGCGTTGTATTTTAAAAATATGTTTGGTTAACATGTTTCATCCAAATCATGATTTGAAAAGCAAACCAAACACTACCTTGCATTTTTTGTTTGCACTTTTTGTTTGTATTCATAAAAACAATGCCCAATTAGTACATAACATCACCATAATAATCCTCAAGAACTTGCATGCAGTAGAAACAAACACCAACTCGTCAAAGAGAAATCAGTATTGTTACACATTCTTTAGGTGTCAACTTTTTTAAAGTCATGTCAAGTTTCATGTTTCTAGAAAAACCACCCTTGACAAATATAGATTATATTTTAACCATTTGATGAACCATAAAACCTCAAAATGTCTCCCCATTTTTGTGCAAGTTTATGTGATAGGGTAACTAACCTGATAATAGAGAGGTGAAAGAAACAACTCACAAAATAAAATATAAATTTTAAGGAGATAGTGATATTGGATAATTCACAAATAATTAAAACAGGAAAAAAGTGAAAGGGTGATAACTATAACAGACATCACATGTGACCACACAAGTATGCTTCAAAAGCATGTAACATTAATGTTTTTGTCCCAAACGGACATGTTCTTATATGAGAACAGGCCAGGGGTGAGAAGCCAATACATTACATTTGACAGTGCAACTTTGAGAGCCACATTAACTATAGCTTGAAGAGATTGCATGAAATACTCTTTCCTTATCCATTGGATAAGTGCCTTCTATGTAATCCCATCTCTAGGTTTATATACTAGATAGAACAGAAACATCAAGATGGCGTTGCAAATTAATGTTTCATATCAAGACATACCTGTAATGTGTGTAGAAGATTACAAGTTGCTTCTGGAAAATCAGGGCGCAAAACCAATGCTTGCTTATAACTTTTTATAGCTGCGTCGACATGTCCACTACAAATGATCCAAATTCAAGAATTGAAAAATGAAAGATTTATATGCATAAACCAAAGGCAAAGTCCAGCATAAGTGTACCCATAACACTCAACAAACAATGTGTACCTATCCTTGTAAGCTGATGCCAGATTTGCATGAGCTTCAGCCATGGTTGGCCGAATGGCAATAGCACGCAAGTAGTCTTGAATTGCTTCATTGACCCTACCAATCTCCTTGTATGTGTTTCCCCTATTGACAAGTCCATCAGCTGCCAACGGATCGATGCGGAGAACTTCATTATAGCAAGATATAGAATCTGCGTAATTACCCTGCATTGTGATCAAAAAAGGGAAAAACAAGAAAACAAGTCATAATGCAACACAAAACCTGGGCAATGAAAATGTGAAATATCATGATGCCTTCCAAAGAAAATAACAGCATCACTTTTTATTTTCCGAATCATGCAGCACGAGAAAGCAGCATGGCAAAGAAGAATACAAGAAGATTTAAGTAGTAGAGAAAAAGAGAGAGAATAGAGACAATGGAGCACAATCCCAGTCAATAGCATCAAATCAAGTCTGATAAGCCATTACATGAGAGCCACATATATATAGGCAAATCAAACTAATCCAATGAGGAAACAAAAACTAAGAAATAAAATCTTAGACAAACACTCCAATGCCTTTTTGATCCTTGTCACTGTATAAGTACACTGTTCATACTTTTTGTGCTAATATTGAAATCCAAGCACCTTCAAAATTTGTGTGCAAAGGGTAGGGGTGGACAATGGAAGAGAGAGAGAGAGAGAGATGATCAAAACTGCTACTACCTGTTGTTTGTAGATTATCGCTAAGTTGTTGAAAGGGGCAGAAAGTCCTGTTGTTACAGATAATGTTGCCTTATAAAATTGTGCAGCAGCAGTCATCATATTCCTGCAAGATCAGAACAACTCTTCCTTGGAAACCACTTGCATTTTTATGGGGAACTCCGTACGCACCTCCATTGCTCAGACAAAGAAAAAATACAAAATGAAAAGAAACTCAATATCTTGAAGGAAAAAAAAACCATACCATTCCATGTATATATTTCCAAGGTTAGTAAGTGCTTGTGGATGGCTGGGTTGCAAAGCCAGACATTGCTTCGCAGAACAAAGAACCCTGATCAGATAGTGGTGAAGACACAAAAAAAAAATAGCATTTCAGTAAAATAAAACTTACATGGTAGCAGGGAATCGCCTCCTCGACCCTTCCAGCATCTTTCAGTGCATTGCCCTTGCCAAAACAAAACCAAAAAAAAAAAAAAATCAAAATTTAAGAAAATTTACTTGACTGTAAGAAAGAATCCAGCAGAAAAAGATACAGAGGGCCAACCAAATTATTGTATGCCTCCAAGAATGCAGCATCACAAGCAATGGCTCGCTTATAGTGGAGTATCGCCATATCCAGTTTCCCTTGCTCATAATATATACTAGCCAAATTACCTGCACAATTTGTTTTGCAGCAAGGCATTATAGTCTGAGATAAGCAATCACAAATCCACTCAAAATACTTGCTATATTATGCACTTTCAATACAAGTAAAGAACTAAGTTATGTGCTTTCAGTTCCATAGAATTAAATTTCAAGTGATTAGTATACAGCCATACACTGATCAATCATTCATACATTTAGAACTACAGCTAATTAGAACTACTTAAGGCCATGGATTTGGATCTTTCATATTTGTCTATTATGCCCTTAAAGATACAATCACCAATTAATTGACATTATCTTTCCCAAGGTCAACTTGCTTAAGATCTGCCTAACGCAATTATAAGTAGGAACACATCCATAAGAATCACCATTGGTTCAAAATTAGGAGCACAAGTTCCACTGGACAAACACTAATGTGGTACATGGATAAATTTAATTAAAAAGGACCACATGTCCATAAATGTTCACAAAAATGTATAATATAGATAATAATGCTCACCATAAGCCATAGCATAGTCTGGACGCGATTGAAGAGCACGCTGATAACACGCAATGGCCTCTTGAGGCATTCCCAAAGCCTGGAAAATGCAAAAGAAATACTTGTTCTCCAGATTCTTGTCCTGGCATTTGCAGCTACCCGACCTTACTAGCACAGTACATAAGACCTTACCTTGTAAACACTTCCCAGGTTCAGATAGGCATCTGGAAATGCCGGTTTAAGCTTAACTGCTTCCTGGAAACAAGCACACTTGGTCAATTACAATTAAACAATACTATATTCAGCAAGCCTTCATGAATGAGGGTGCATGAATTTAAAAACTAAATCCCAGACGAACCAGCGTAAATAATATAAACCCACTATTTCTTACCTTGTAATACTGAAGAGACCTATTAAGGTCACCTGCTTCCATGAAAAGGCCAGCAAGGTTGGACCATGCTATAGCAAAATTTGGTTGTATACGGAGAGCCTCAACGTAGCAATTATATGCCTAGAAAACATAACTCAATCCATTTAAGCATAGAAGTAAAAGAAGTTAATCAATCTGAAATATCAGTGAAAGTAGTCAGAGCGAAACCAAAATAATAAATGCGAATCCAAATATGGGATTTCACTTGCACAATTCTTCCAGTCAACATCATGACTGCAGAAATAAAGCTAAGAAGTTAAGGGCCCCAGGTAGGCCTATTAAGTCTGTTTCAGACAAAATACTCCCAGCCATGACCTTTTCTGACAGGACAACTGTAGTCGCATCCAGTCATGTACTCCAAAACTGATCAACAAAGTAATGAAAAGGTATCCCACATATTTCATCCCCTTAGCGCACAATTTTACACAACAACTAACACCATGCAAGGCATAAAGGATAATTTTTCACCTCTTGCACTAAACCTTGGGCTTTCATCAGATTCCCGAGGTTACTGTGCGCATCAACCTACAACAATGGATAGGATCCAACAGTTAAAATCAGAAGTTTCAACTACACAACATACTGAAAATTGTATAAGAATCTACCAAATGAGGGTTTAATGAAAGAGCCTGGCGACAACACCGAGCTGCCTCATTAAGTCTTCCTTTCCGCATATATGCACTAGCTAAATTAGACCATGCATCAGCAAAATTTGGTCGAAGCTGCAGTAAAAAAATATTACCAGAAAAGTCTATCACACATGCAGTTACAAAGACACTTACCAAGGGAAAATCTGAACATACAGCAAATTGTTAATCAAAATCATACTTTTATTTTTGATAGATAGATAAGAGGAATCAAACTTAAGTCTCTATTTTTAATTGAAACCCTACTTTTATGAATCATGAATTGATGATTGTCCTTTAGGCAAGGAGCTTACCTAGACAAAAAAATTTACATATATCTTTAACTAAAAATTTCCTCAATGATTCATTGTCTTACCAGATATTTGAGGTTGCATATGTGATCCTATTTTCCATTTCATTCCATTAAGGGCTAAAGCATCAATTAAACCCAAGTGACCATGTATTCTTTTAATATCTTAATCAATGTAGAGTTTGATCTTACTCTTTTTCAATGTGGACAATGTTCTTCTACATTGTGCATTAGTTGCCTATTGAATATTACTTAATCTCAAAAATACTCTTAGCAGCTTCTTGAACTTGTTAACAATTATTCAACCCAAAAAAAAAAAACTTGTTAAACAATTCAAGAAATTTAGAGTTCGTTGTTCAGTTTCATTTGTGTTACACCACCCAAATCTCTATGGTCACAAGTATCATATTTGAATGCAATGTAGGCCTTGTTTGGGAAGTTGGCTATTTGGGTTTTTGGCTATTTTAGTCTGGTTAAAAAAGTTGTGTTTGGGAAATTGGTTGGCTTTTTTATGTAGCTGATTTGATGGTTGTTCTTCTATTTTGTCTTTTAGTGGGCTATTTTAGCCCAACCCACTTTCCAAACAAGGTCGTAGTGTCACCGTAAATCTATGAAGCATGGACACTCCAAAATGAGTGCCGTGGCGGTGTCCGACTCGGGGACACATACGGAACACGCCAGATGGCGTGTCCCTTTAATTTAATGATTTTTTTGTAGGGGACACGGCGGGGATACGTGTGTCCATATGGGGCCACGGCATGGGACGCAGCAAGGCTTTTTTTTATTATTTATTTAATCTTTTGCCTCTCTTATTTAGTGCTTTTGTGAAAAATATTGTTGGATGTTGAATGTTTTCCCCTTCTCGTCTTAGTTCTTGTTATCGTTTATTATGACTTTTTTGTGAATTTTTTGTGAATGGATGATCTATTAATTTGTTTAAATGTAATGGTTATGCTTATTCAATTAATGTTACTATGTTAGTGTTTGTTAATTTTAATTTAGGATGAATGTAATATGAATCTACATAACACATAAAATATATAAAATAAATAAAATAAAATTCGCCGTGTCCCCCGCCGTGTCCGTGTCCCCATTTTTTGAAAATTGCCGTGTACCGTGTCCGTGTCCGTGTCCGTATCCGTGTCTGTGTCCGTGCTTCATAGATTTTTAGAGCCTATAGTGAAATTTAGTTAAAAATTAATTCGAATCAAAATAATTAGATTCAATATGATTGAATTAAAGCACAATTATTTAGCCTTAATCAATTTGATTAGGCAAGCCTATATACATTTAAGTTCATCCTTTTGAGCTCATTTTCTTCCAACTTGGCTGAGATTACACTCTAGAGAGAGAGTGTGAGCCGATTGTAGAGAGAGAGACAACACAATTTGAAGGATTTAGCTCAAGTTTGGAGAATTGAGGAGAATTAACTCAAGGCTTAACTATATTTGGAAGAATTTGAGCCTTTAGGTGAGTAATCAACCCTTAATTCATGAGTTTAAACTTGTAATTATGTGAATTCCAAGAGAGTTGGTGATCAAGAACAAAATTTGAGTAGTGTTTGATGAAATTGAAGTTAATATCTCCATGCATATAAAGAATTACCATGAATGTCCACAATCATGAAGGATTGAGTACCAAATCATACATGCAAGCATAGTTTTGATGAGCTTCATTATTGTAAGCATCATTTGTACCATTTGAAATGAAATTAGAGTCAATGAGTTACATGCATGTATGATCCATGGAGGTATGTAGCTTAGTTGCATGTATTTTAAAGTTGTCAAGAAGAATATTGAATGATTTGAGAATTGGATCATGGTTTTGGACAATTGGTCTCAAATTGCCCATGTTCCCATGTCATGTAATGTCTTTCCATATTTTTGTACCAAAAATACGAGTTTTGAACCTTTGGAATCAAGTTTTGAACTTCAAACAAAGTTCTGAAAATTTCAAAATTCATCATGTCTGCTCGAGCGGCATCGAGCGGGGAAAGCGCCGCTCGAGCGTAAAAATCAAGCTCTCAGAAGTTTTGCAGACATTGATGTCTACTCGAGCGAGAAGAATTGCGCTCGAGCGCCCACTCACATGTTTTGACTCTTGGCTCAAGCGACCAAAGTCATGCTCGAGTGCAAAAATGAGGCAACCAATACTTTTGCAGATTAAAGGGGTCCGCTCGAGTGGGAAAAGCTGTGCTCGAGCGGAGAACCCTATTTTAGAAATTTTGAAAAATTATTTTATGATTCGTTTTTCGATCTCTTTCATCTCTAAGCACTCTTAGGCCTACATTGAACATTGTAAATGAAATTAAAGATCACGAAAGAAGCCTAAGAGCGTTAAACAAACTAAAGAACGGATTGAATGGTATTATGACCCAATGTGTTATGAATTATGTAGGGTCAAGTGTAAGGACGAATCAAGCAACGGAACATGGTGAGTAATATCTTAACAAAGATATTTTTGTATACGCATTATTTTCTAAATGATGCCTATGTGGTAAGGTTCTAAACCTTTGAAGTGATATTATGAACGAGCATTCCAATCACTCAATTCAGAATGAGATAGCCTAAAGCCGTTCAGTATATTCAATAAGGATGTGGATTGGGCCTAAGGCCGTTCTGTATGATTATTAAATGGGCCGAAGGCCATTCGGGATAAGGAAAAGATATGGACCTAAGGTTGTTCTGGATACAAGAATGAATATGATCATAAATTTAAATGTGTGCACACAATAAACGTGTATATGAATTGGACCTAAGGTCGTTCTGTAAGTATTGGACCTAAGGTCGTTCTGTGAATATTGGACCTAAGGTCGTTCTGTGTGTAATGGACCTAAAGTTGTTCTGTGTGTAAGTTGAACCCAAGGTCATTTTGCCTATGATGGATCCAAGGTCGTTTGGTATGCCACATGAACCCGAGGTCGTTTGATGTTTGAGAAATGGTAAAAAGGACCTGAGGTCGTTCAACTTTATTATTGACTTCCAAGCGTAATAGTGTATTGTGATTATAAGAATATTGTTTATGAACTCCTTTGCTTTGGTATTATTCATTGGGCGTTAACTCACTATTTATATTTATGTATGTAGGTGAGCAGCGGGATGTCCAGCCCCAGTGAGCAATGAAAAACCAAGTTTTGAGAGGTCAACCAAGGTCGCCTCACGCAAGAGGCCTTACTTTTGTTTGCCTTTTCTGTTGTTCTTTTGTGGTCATGTATGACCAACCCTGTGTATAACCTGGATTTTGTTAATACTGGCTTTGAATGATCTTGGACGTATGTATTACATGCTTTTTTTTTTATTAGCAATGTATTACATACTTAATATGAATGTTTATATGATGTGAGTTATTATATGAATATGAGAATGTTTTGGTTAAGCCATGTATGCACAACTCATTGGACAATCTTTGTAAATTTTGCTTCCGCAAATTTGGCTCCCTATTATTAAATATGACTCGTGAGGCCGCAGGTAATCTTGTAATTACTGGCCGGTTATGACTCTATTCCATAGAGGAGGGTTTGGGTCATGACACATACTGAATCATAATAAATTATAGTGAATCACAAATTAAATCGCAAAATTCACTCAATTTCAAATTCAACAGTATGATTTGAATCAAGTTGGTTGAAACTCATATCAAATTGTGAATCGCACAATTCAAGCAACCATGCTTGTAGATATTTATTTCATACTTCCTAAAGGTATCTACAATTAGAAATTATTATTTTTTAATTTATAATAAGTATACTACGTATCCAACTTATCTTACAATTAAGATGTGACATTTCTCGTGTGGCATTAAAATAAGATTGTCAGAATGAATGCATGAATAGTTTCTAATACTACTTAGAGAATAAAACTTGGGAGAGATTAAAGCATGTCCAATTTGGTAAAAGTTCATGTCCAAGTAAACTTAACCTTATTTTTTCTTAGGTGAATATGTTATAAATTCAAAATAAACGAGTATGTCAACACAAAATTAACTTTTTACTTGCATAGATACATATCATTATATCCTTGAGGTATTTGTATCCTACTTTATTTTTTAATTTGTCATACTAGTATCCTGTTTCTATATCCATGTTACTTCTCCTTTATGCACTTTTAAACACACCATAAATTCCTTTAGAAGAAGAAGAGAAAGAAAGAAAAAAAAAAAAACCACCAATCAGTACAACAACTACAATGTTGCAAGGTTTTAGATTTTTAGTCATTCGAAATTACTAAATGCTACTCTGATCAACTACCTACCCAAATGAATTGTTAATTAAATTGGTTAAAATCATGAACATCCTCAATTGCAATATAAGCAAAGTATCATCAACTAAAATTTTCCCATTCCAATCAAAACAAAACCTTCACCTTTGGCCGGAAAGTAAACCAGACCACTCCCCGCACTAAAATTCGCATCCGGGTTGTAACTTTTCAACACAGCTGTAGTCAAATTCGTCTCAGTAGCAATAGAATCCAAACTATCCTCCGGCCGAAGAGGGTACGTCATGAACAACCCGTAATCCTTCGAAACCAAACTGTCGCCGCACGAACAATTCACCGTCACATTGATCTGCACACCGTCGGGAATCCGATTCGGATCATAGCTATTGAATTTCCGAACCCACTCCGTCGTGGTCAGGTTGGCATAGTACGTACCAGCGACCTTCCCGTATGTGTCAGCAACCCTCATCCTGTACTTGAACACATGAGCAAAGAAATCTCCATTGATGCAATCGCAGGGGAAGGGAATGATGATTCGTATACCGGATTTAACACTGTCTTGGTTTGGAATTTGAGGATTGTAGCTGAGAATATCACTGATTGGATGGCTCATCACTTCGGAGATGAAGGTAAGGTTCGATTCGGGCCATACGTAGTACGAAGCTAGGGCTAAGTCACAGCCTTTGGAACACGTGGATTCGACTGTGGCACAGAAGAAGATGGAGATGATGATCGCGAAAAGCCCTAATTTGGATGGAAACATGGTGGCATGAGTGAAAGCATAGAAACCATCTGAATTGGGGTCGGTTGATGATGAAGAGAAGAGAAGCATATACGATGAAGACGGCTGAGTTTTGGAATGTTGACTGATGGAGGAGGAGTCGCGTCAGCGGAGTGTAAGACCAGCCAACTGAAAATCGCCGCCCCGGCGGAAATGATTATTGGGTGCACCCGATTACAGTCGCATATGTTTTAAAGGGCTGTGATTAGTGAAGAAAGTAGAGATTAAACTTTAAAATAAATTGGATTTGGTTTGGATTTGTCAAAATTTGAATTCGATTTGATTAAAACAAATCCCAATTGGTATCTCATATATAATCAATCACTTGAATTTGAATTAAATAATCTTAAATATTCGATTCAATCTATTCATTTATTTATGGAGTTACAATTTTGAATTTCTTTTTTTCATTTTGTATTTGCTTCATTCAAATTATTAGATTATCAAATTGGATCGGATTGAATTTTTATATTATTCGATCCGTTTACTAAACAGATTAAGGTCTAATTTAAGAACTTTATTAAAAATTAAAAATTAACATTTAACTAATTTTAGCCTCGTTTGGGAAGTGACTATTTTAGTAGGCTATTTAGCTTTTTGGCTAAGTTTGGGAAGATCCAAAAAAGCCAAAAAGTCAAAAAGTTACTCAAAAAGCTAAAAAGTTAACACTATTCACCAAAAGTCAACAATTACGGCTGCACAACTCCCAATTCAAATTTTTCTCTACAAATCAATTTTTACAATTTTTTATTACACATTTTTCAATAAAAAGTCAAAAAGTTAACCCAAACATCCATATTTTCAACCTCAATTTTTTAGTCCAAAAAGACAAAAAGTGCACTTTTTTAGTCTTCCCAAACTTGGCCTAAGTAATAAAAAAATAAAAGACATATATTATTTTTATAATAATTGGAGTCTCTTAATATTTTTCTTGAGAAATTTTGATACAATTTTTCTATATTTTGAAATTTCACTAGTTTTCTTAATTTTTCTGATTTTTTTCTGTGTTTTTAAATTTTCCTGGTGTGTTGAAATGATGTTTAAATTTAAAATGACAAATTTGTCCCTAACTTTTTATTTTTTAAATTGATATAAAGGGGTAAAATGGTAATTTTCCCCATTGATGTATCAATTTCCGACTGTGACAAGCGCAGTGCCCTTTTTTTTTTTTTTTTTTTTTAAACAACTGTGAACAATGCCACTTTTTGGCTTATTTATCAAATGAGACTATAATAGCCTCGTTGGCAGCTTCCCAAACAACGCCTTTGAATCACATCAACTTTTTATATTTATACATATATTTTTATAAAATATAAAAAAAAACACGTATGGTGTCATACTTAGGAGTTGTTTGGGATAACTTAAATATGTATACTTTTTATCTTTTTACAAAAAAAAATGTGCAAAAAAATAAAAAAGATGATGTGATAAAAAAAATATAAAAAGATGAATTATTTTCAACTTCTCAAACTTGGCATTAGTATCATGTTTCTATATCCATGTTACTTATGTTTCTATATCCATGTTACTTCATAAATTCTTATAGAAGAATAAGAGAAATGAAACCAAAAAAAAAAAAAAAACACCAATCCGTACAACAACTATGATAGATATTTTAAAAAGATAGTTAGCCTCCGTTTGGGAAGTGGGTTGACTTTTTAACTTTTTGACTTTTTTAGCTATTTTAGCTTAGGCTAAAGAACTTTGTTTGGGAATGATTTTTTGACTTTTTTTGATTTTTTTTTGTGAAAAAATAGTGTAATGATTATGGGTTGGATGTGATGCTTTATTTGTTGGGACTAAAATAACATATTTTGTTTTTTGTGGCTATTTTAGTCCCAAAAAAAACCTCGTTTAGCTCTTGCCAAACGGAACCTTAAAAGTTACTTTTTAATAAATAATTAAAAAATATTTTTTAAATTTTTTTAAATTTTTTATTAAAAACTGAAAAGTGACTTTTAATCTAATATTCCACGTAACCCAATGTTGCAAGGTTTTAGAATTTTAGTCATTCAAAATTACTAAATGCTACTCTGATAAGCACCTATTCAAATGAGTTGTTAATTAAATAAATTGGTTAAAATCATGAGCATCAATTGCAATATAAGCAAAGTATCATCAACTAAAATTTTCCCATTCCAATCAAAACAAAACCTTCACCTTTGGCCGGAATGTAAACCAGACCACTCCCCGCACTAAAATTCGCATCCGGGTTGTAACTTTTCAACACAGCTGTAGTCAAATTCGTCTCAGTAGCAATAGAATCCAAACTATCCTCCGGCCGAAGAGGGTACGTCATGAACAACCCGTAAACCTTCGAAACCGAACTGTCGCCGCATGAACAATTCACAGTGACATTGATCTGCGCACCGTCGGGAATCCAATTCGGATCATAGCTATTGAATTTCTGAACCCACTCCGTCGTGGTCAGGTTGGCATAGTACTTGCCAGCGACCTTCTCGTATATATCATCAACCCTAAACGTGTACTTGAACACGTGAGCGAAGAAATCGCCGTTGATGCAATCGCAGGGAAAGGGAATGTTGATTCGTATATCGGATTGAACACTGTCTTGGTTTGGAATTTGAGGATTGTAGCTGAGAATATCACTGATTTGAACGCTCATCACTTTGGAGATGAAGGTGAGGTTCGATTCGGGCCATACGTAGTACGAAGCTAGGGCTAAGTCACAGCCTTTGGAACACTTGGATTCGACTGGGACACGGAAGAAGATGGAGATGATGACCGCGAAAAGCCCTAATTTGAATGGAAACATGGTGGCATGAATGAAAGCTTAGACACCATCTGAATGGGGGTTGGCTGATGATGAAGAGAAGAGAAGAGAAGCATATACGATGAAGACTAGGTTGAGTTTTGGAATGTTGACTGATGGAGGAGGAGTCGGAGGACGAATTGTTTTGTCGGGTCAGCGGAGTGAAAGACGAGCCAAATGAAAATTGCCGCCACGGCGGAAATGGTTATTAGGTTCGTCTGGGGTACGACCACATTAATGGCGGAAATGGTTATTTGTTGAGTCTGGGTACGGCCACATTAATGGCGGAAATGGTTATTAGGTGCCGCTGGGGTACGGCCACATTATGTTTTTAAGCGACGGCCACATTAATGGCGGAAATGGTTATTAGGTGCCGCTGGGGTACGGCCACATTATGTTTTTAAGCGTTGTAATTGGTGAAAAAAATAGTAATTAAGCTTGCAAATAGATTGGATTTTGATTAGATTTGTCAAAATTTGAATCTAATTAAAATAAGTCTCCATCCATTTATTTCATATTTGATTATAGATCACTCACATTCAAATTAGATCATTTCATATATTCGATTCGATTCCATCTATTTATTTATTTATTGAGCTACAATTTTGAATTTTTTTTTCATTTTGTGTTTTCTTTATTTAAATTGAAAGTAAGATTGGATTATTAGATTATTGGATCATATCGGATTTTTATATATTCGATTCGTTTATTAAAGAGATTAAGACTTAATTTGGGAATTTGATTAAAAATTAAAAATTAAAAATTGACTTTTAACTTATTTTTTTTTATCAAATTGCCTCTCTACATCTTTATATGTTTTTTTCTTTAAAAAAAAAAAAAATTAAAAAGTCAACTTTTAACTAATTTTTCAAAACAATCTTAAATGTATTTGGATTATTAGATTGCCAAATTGGATTTTTTTTAAATAGATTTGAATTTTCAGATCGGACTAAGATTAAATCTAATCTATTGACAATAGGAACTATAATTTTGTATCAAGTAATTAAAAATAAAAAAATATATATATATAATAATTAGGCCTAAAATGTAAACACCATCGTTGTAAGAAATATTGAATAGTTTTTCCCGGAAGGCAGAATACACAGTTATAGTTTTTCCCACGGAAGGCAGACTACACGGTTATGATGCAGGCCGGTTGATCTGCAGAGATTTGGACTGGCTGGCCAAAATCTAAGTTTAGGCAATCGAATTTGGGAGCTGTCTCTGTTCAATCACTATAATGATATGAATTATTCATATTTTGAATTACAATGTACATATACATTTATATGAAAAATCAGATTAATTTAAAAATATTAATCATGTTGGCTTAATTGAATTTATTTTTTAAAAAATAATTTGTTATAAACTAACATAATTATAGTTATCAAATCGATTTAATTTTAATTTTAATTTTAATTTTTATAAATGATCTAAATGTTGTAAACAAAAAATAAACAATTCAAAACTTTCTATTGTGCATGATGTGATCCATTGGGTACCATGGGTTTCTTATTATGGGTGGGGTTAGATTTTACAGACAATCGGTTATCATGTGATCAAGACCCACAAATGCTATAATACCTCCACAAAATGTCTTTTGTTTTTGTTATAAAAAAAAATAAATAAAAAAATAAAAATAAAAATGGATGATATGTTTTTGAATGGAAAATTATTTGTTTGGTTTCATATTTGAGAATTATTTTATAAAATATTTAATAAAAATTTGATAAAAATAAATACACGAAAAAGAAGTTATAAAATTTTGAAACAATTTTGTACAAACAAAATGTAAAAATATGAGTGGTTTTAAATTATTATTATTATTATTATTCATAAAATAAATTCTCAAAATAAAACTAAAAAAGTGAGTGGGCTTTTTAAGTTGAATTAATAAAGCCAAAAAATCAACAAGGGTATGGTTATTTTAATTTTATTACAATATTTTATTACACATCTTTTCGTAAAAAGTTAAAAAATTATCTCAAATATATATCTTTTTTTCTCTACTTTTTTAACTAAAAAATCAAAAAATTCACTTATATAGCACATCACAAATTTGTTTAATGTGAATTCATGATTATTGATTTTCCTTTTGGATTTTAATGCTTTTATTTTATTTGGCAGTATCTGCTGGTGTGGTTTTTGGAGCTGATGGTTCTGTCCTAAAGTTAATGTTGTCCTTTTTTTTTTTTTTTTTTAGTTTTTTTTTTTTTTGAACATGTAAATCAGAAAGACAACAAGAACCAAAAGCTATAAAACTAACAATTCTCCAAAAGAACTGCTAGAGAATGAGGGGAAACAGAGACCCAATCAAGCGGAAGATGACCTCTGAGATGTGCCTGGGCAACCCAATGAACAGCCCTGTTAGCTGACCTACAGGTCCACGAAAAACAAAATTTCCCTGTGTGGCCAACTTTTTGATATCGAAGAAAATGGCTGCACAATCCCATGGGGGGTCAGTTTCAGAAACACTGAGCTGAATCACAGATTGATTGTCCCCTTCAATCACAACATCCGACAGATTGCAGGTCTTAGCCAACTGGCAAGCCAAACGACAAACAAGAGCTTCGCCTTGAAAGGCCGAGGAGCAAGGCACTGTCATCACTCTTCTATCCACAAGCTTGCCTCTCCAATCCCGGAGAATAACTGCAATCGACGCAACATGTGTACCTGTTTGAATAGCCACGTCGTAGTTTGCTTTGAACTTCCCAACTGCAAGTGGATGCCACCGGGACCTATCTTCAGAAATCCCTGCAGAAGGCTGGTTTGACGGGATAGAGTTAAGGCTAGAAAAGTTCTCAAATTCATCCTTGGCCATCTTGATTCGGAACAACGTTGACAAGGGGTCTACGGGCCGCTGATTAAACACAAACTCATTCATTTCCTTCCAAATAAACCACCCTGTCCAAGCGATGGCACTGAAGAAACTGATACAACCCTTTGAGTTATCAAAGAAACCCATTAAATCACAAGACCACTGTAAGACCGAGTGAATAGGCTGCTCCTCAAATCTGAAATTATATTCCCCACCAAACCACACCGCTCGAACCTAATCATAATCAAACAGCAAATGTTCAACAGTCTCCTGTTTCACATTACAGATTGGGCATATAGCAGAAGGAGCACACTTTCGACGATGAAGATTTACCTTAGTTGCAAGGGCATTCTTGCACACTCTCTACCAAAAGTGACGAACTTTCGGAGGGACATTTAGGGACCAAATGAACTTCCAGAAATTTTTTTGGGAGTTGGAAAGACGATGATGGTGAAAGGGCATAGATTGAGACCTCTCCAAACCCACTATGTGATACCCAGATTTAACAGAAAAAGGCCCCAGTAGCTTCACGGTGCCAAACCAAAAAGTCTTCGAGATTCTTCATAGACACTGGAATCTTGCAAATAGCTTGACACTCCAAATTAGAAACAACATTATTCAAAGTATCCACTTTCCAATTTCTGGTAGTTTGGTCTATAACATCCGCCACCTTACGAACCACACTATTGTCTGGCCTCAAAGTAGAAATCTTGAAACCAGGTAAACTAGGAACCCACCTATCTTCCCAGAACGATATAGACGCCCTGTTATGGGCCTGCCAACGAACTCCTTTCAATAAAACTTGCCTTCCTTGAATCAAGCTGGCCCAACCCCAAGAGGCCCTCCGCCCTCGAGAGGCATTGAGGAAGTCAGAATGGGAAAAATAAATACCTTTTAACAATCTAGCACAAAAAGAGTTTGGGTATTTTAGTAATCTCCATCCTTGCCGGGCTAGAAGAGCTAGATTGAAGTCATTGAAACTCCTAAAACCCAATCCCCCTTGACTTTTAACCAAAGTTAAATGCCGTCAACTGATCCAATGGATGCCCTTCCCTTCCGGGTCACCACCCCACCAGAAATTACTAATGTAGGAGTTAAGCTTTTTGCATAATTTTTTTGGAAATCAAAAACATGCCATGGCGTAGGCGGGTATTGATTGGACAACTGCTTTAATCAAGATTTCCCTTCTCGCATGAGATAACAGTTTCATTTTCTAGCTTTGTAGTTTTGATAATACCCTCTCAAAATTGAACTCATAGGCCTCAGCTTTAGACCGCCCCCAAAATGAGGGTACACCAAGATATCTAGCATCTGTTGGCATAAGCTTAAGGCCTGAAATCCCACAGATCCTGCTGCATAAGTCCAACAGAACATTTGAGGAGAACTGCACACTTGACTTTTCGAAGTTTACAACTTGACCAGAAGCATCACAATACGTCTTCAGGACTTGCAGAGCATGCACACATTCTTGGACATCCGCCTTAAGAAACAGAAGAACATCATCTGCAAAAAGTAAATGCGAGAAAACCGGACAAGTTCTCGAAATCCTCAACCCAGAGAGCATGTTGTCTTGGAGGCTCTTTGCTAACAATTTGGACAACACATTTGTTACCAAAATAAACAAATAAGGGGATAATGGATCTCCCTGTCGGAGGCCTCGAGAAGGAATAAAATAGGTCATTTTCTCACCATTGGCAAAAACAAAAAAGCTGACAGTAGAGACACATTACATTACCCATTGGACCCATTTTAGATGAAACCCTATTTTCTCCATAACAGCTCGTAGGAAATCCCATTGAATTCGGTCATAGGCTTTGTTGAAATCCAGTTTGATGGCCATATGTCCCCTAGTCCCTTTCTTTTAGAGCTTCAAGAAATGAAAAGCTTCATGGGCCACAATAATGTTGTCCTGAATCAATCTTCCTGGCACAAAGGCCGATTGGTTTGGAGAGATTAACCTTTTCAAAATTTGCTTTAGCCGATTTGATAAAAATCTTGGTAATCACTTTCAGAATAAAATTGCAGAGGCTAATCGATCTAAATTGTGAAAGCTTCACTAGCAAATCAACTTTTGAGATCAAGACCAGATTTGTTTGGTTCAGTTCCTTGAGGAGAAAACAACCCTGAAAAAAACTCTAGACTGCACGACAGACTTGGTCTCCTACCACTCCTCATTATTTGTGATAGAACACACCTGAAAAGCCATCTGGCCCTGGAGGTTTGACAGGGCCCAGTTGGAACATAGCAGTTCGAATTTCAGCCTCACTGATAGGAAGCAACAGGATTCTATTCATATCATCTGTAATATGATGTTCAACAACCGACAAATCATGTTTGAGATTTTGTTCCTCCACACTAGAAAAAAG